GACATCTTTGGTGGTAGATACCTCTCCTCACTCGGTGTGACTGTCATATCACTTATAATCTTAATGGTATTGTTTTATTCTTCTTATAATTTTTTCTTATTTCCATGGTAGTTGATGGGTTCTCAGGATGTTCCATGGCAATGCTAGATATCTTTTCGTTGGAACTAAAACTAATAGTTAGCAGTGGCTCCACTACTATATGTGGTGCCTCCTAGTTCTTAGGATCCCTGGTAGCCCTATCAGTCTTTTTTGTTTTTATTAGAGAGTTCCCTTCTTTTCAGGCCAACACTGGATGACTATCTCCACAGATCCCTCATACCAGATCATAGATACAGCCTTGCTCACATTTGTTTTTTTTGCGGTTGATCCAAAAGAAGGCAAAAAAAACAGTTTGAAGCAATTCCAATTTTGCAACAAACGAGCAAATAAATTCCTTCTTGACCCAGAATGGCAGTCAGATTTATCCTTGGATCAAGAAGCTATTACCCTACATTGTAAAATTATATCCTTGAATATTCTATTTTTGCAAGTATGCATCTAATTGCTGTTTGAACATCTGTATGGATTCTGATAAAACCACTTCTTCAGGCAGAGAATTCCACATCCTGATTGTTCTTACAGTAAAAAAAACCTTTTCTTTGCCTTAGACAAAATCTTCTTTCTTCCAGTCTAAACGCATGACCCTGTGTCCTATGTAAAGTCTGGTTTGTGAATAGATTTCCACACAATGGTTTGTATTGGCCCTGAATATATTTGTATAATGTTATCATATCCCCTCTCAGGCGACGTTTTTCTAAACTAAATAGGTTTAAATTTGTTAACCTTTCTTCATAGCTGATATGTTCCATTCCTTTTATTAATTTTGTAGCCCGCCGTTGCACTTTTTCTAGTGCCATAATATCCTTCTTTAGAACAAGTGCCCAAAATTGAACAGCATATTCAATATGTGGTCTTACCAGTGATTTATAAAGAGGCAAAATGATATTCTCATCTCGAGAATGAATGCCCTTTTTCATGCATGACAATACCTTACTGGCCTTAGCCACTGCTGATTGACATTGCACATTGTTGCATAGTTTGTTATCTATAACAATTCCCAAGTCCTTTTCGTGTGTTGTTATCCCTAATTTGTTTCCATTAAGGGTATACGTTGCTTGTGCATTCTTTACGCCGAAGTTCGTAACTTTGCATTTTTCAACAATAAATTTCATCTGCCATTTGAGTGCCCAATCCCTCAGTCTATCTAAATCCCTCTGTAGCAAAGCAATATCCTGCTCACATTTTATTACTTTACAAAGATTTGTGTCATCTGCAAA